TTATATATATATATATATATATATATATATATATATATATATATATAATATATGGTGTGTATGTATGTATGTGGTATATATGATGTGTGTATATATGTATGTATATTATATATATATTTTTTTTGTTCCTTCTAATTGTTCATTTCATTTATGTTCATTTCTAATTTTAATTACATAGATGAATGAAAATAATAGAAGAAAGTCCATTGATGTTAGACAGTTATGGATAGGAAAAAAATAGCCTAGGATTCAAAGAAATTTCAAAAAGATACGAAATTTTCATGATGGAAGCGAAGAAAATTTGTGACAAATACGACAAATACAGTACTGTAAAATGTAGCAGACTAAGAAAAACATTGATGAGAAATGACAGGATGATAATTCGAGAAGTAAAAAAATTCCGTTATATCGGCCATCCTTGACCATCAAAGAAAATTTAAATTTTGTTCACGTACATGAAAGAACGGTGAGAAGGAGATTAAATGAAAATAGATTAAAAAATTACATGGCAAGAAAGAAACCTTTTAAACCTAAAAATCAAAAAAACGTCTACTGTTTGCTAAACAGCACATTACTAAGTCCTTATTATTTTAATACAATTATATGGTCTGACGAATCTAAATTTGAGTTGATGAATAAAAAGAAAAGGAAAAGGATATAGGTATAAGTCATCAGATCACTTAAAAAAGCAAAATGTTTAATCAACTATTAAGCATGGTGGCGGTTCGATTATAATTTGGGGCTGTTTCTTTAAAAACGATATTGAAAAATTAGTTAAAATGGATGGAAGAATGACTAGTATTGACTATTTTTTTATATAACATTTTAAATAACAATTTACTACAATCAGCAGAAAAAATGTGTTTAGGATATTTCAGTCATACTATCTCTCTAAGCAATAGCATTGGAAGTGAGAAGTGAAAATCTATGACATATTGTCATATATGCTATTGGAACCCTTCGAAGTGCCAAGTGACCGAATAAAACAACGTTTCAAATCCGAAGCATTTGTAGCGCTGAGTGGACCACACTCTATAACTTTGACCTATGTTGATCTACAACTTGTCTGTCTGTTACATTTTGTTTTATTTATCTCATTTTAATCTTTGATCTTTTCTTGCTTATGTTAAACAGTCTCGATAGAGATCTTGCGGATGGATTTGGAGAGCAATAGATAGGAGTCTTACGTACAAAGATGAGAAAGCTCAGATTTTTTTTAAAAATATTTATTGGTAGTCCTTATAACATATGTCGATAATGCTTCGATGGCTACAGATGGTACGCTAATAATGAAATTTTTTTAATAATAAAATTTTTTTTTCTCGGCGATAACCAAACGAAAATTATATTTCTCGATAACATAATAGAGTGTACTTTCTTTAAGGCCTTCTCCTTTATCACAGTTAAATATTATAACATTTTATCCTCTTTTATCAAATTGTTTTCCTTTCTGACTTCTTTTCGTTCCGCTATTATTAAATTCGTCTTCTCCAGTGAAATTTTCATTTTCATTTGCTTTAGCACGTATCCGACAGTATTGCAACTTTGTGCACTGTTTCGTTCTTTTTCTTTTTTAATTTTCTTAATTTTTTTAATCTTAATTTTTTTAATTTTTTTCATTAATTTACTAAAATAGTATTTGAATCCGTTAAGAGATTAAATAATTTTGTTAAAGTTAGTTAAATTACATATCAATGCATGTTATCGCATAGTATTTCATCTTGAAATTGTTGTCGTTTCCATGTAAAATCAGGCATGAGAGTTTCTTCAACAAATGTTATGTGGTTTGAACCATCAATTAATAATAAAGAATGTGTCCTTGTCCCATATTCCTTTCCAGACACAAAAATTGAACTAAGCTCTTTATATATTGCAGGACGTCTTTTTTGTAATTCAGCATCTGGTAAATATCTGTAATAAGATTTAATTTATCTTATATATGCACATATATACATAAATTTATACAACTTTATACAATTTGAATTCGAATATGTAAACATTGGCGTCTGAAAAGGTTTACTTGTTAGCGCAAGATAGTGATTGAGCTTTTGCAACAAAAAATTAATGAATATAGTATTTAGAAAACAATCGTTGATACATATAGAAACCAAATGTCATTTTTTCATATTTAAAAAATTTTTATAAATTATTTATGCTATAAAGAATATTTTAATTTTTCTTCGTTAAAAAAACAAAAGTTATTCTCTTAAAACAGAAATAAAAAAAATCATAAAGGCGTTTTCCAAATTTTTTAGTATCAATAATGTTACAATTTAAATGATTACGAAATAGCACATGTTGCTCTATTTCTGCCGTCAATCTGTTCTCATGTTTTACAATTTTGCCAGCAAAATATAAGCCAAATACGAATAAAGTTGAGGTAAATCTGACAAATTCTGATCGAATTTGCTAATAGTCTGTTGACGTATATGTTTTTTAGAATAAAGAAATTGAGTAATATATGTCATTGTGTTTCCTTCAATCAATTAATGTATCAATTAATACACACAATTCAAACACATACATTTGCTTTAATTAATTACAAAGACAAGTTATTTATAGATGCATTTGTTGCAGAATGAATGTTTGGGATGAGAGAAAGACAGAACCTATCCTACTGAAGCATTTATTAAATACATTAATATGCAAATAATGTGCATATAATATGCACATTAATATACAAATAATGCAAAATTTATATTTGGATGCAAAATTGAGACTCTAATTGTGGTATTTACCATATGAATATTGCTTTATTAATAAATTTTTAACGTGTGACGACTGAAACATTTTAAGCATTATTTTAGAATCTAAACTTAACTTGGAATCATGATCTTGACACTGTATATCAAGATCAATGATTTTAGAATTTTTTTTCTAGAGTTTTTAGAATCTACTAAAAATGTATTTTTAAGACTATTTTCAAGATTGCAACCAAACTATGAACGATCGCTATATTTCATTAATGTATTCAGGAGATAAAAATACATAGGAATATTCCACTCTTTCAAGTGGAAACAAGAGAAGTAAAGCAGAATGGGCAATTCTGAAGATTTGTCTTAAAATATAATATAAATTTGACATACTTTTTTTTTGACTTCAGAAAACAAATAAGTTTTTCAATGAGATCATCTTGTTTTGATATATCTATATCCTGTATAATATTTTTGAATTCTTCCTTTCCTATTTCAACTTTTTTATAAGGATGATTTAAGCCACTATTTCCAATACCTATAATATCGTTATTACATATTATAGGTCCAGTGGATTTGGTACAATTACTTAAATAATGCACATTTGCATTACTGAAAAAGATGCACAGTAATTAATTTTTAAAAAATTACAATTCAATAAAACTTTCTATGTGGTTAGAATTTAAGTAGACTGATTAATTTTATTTACTTTAATTATTATACTATTATCTACTTACATTAAATTTAATAGAACCAAACAATAAGGATTATATGATTGTCCATTGATATTTTCTTCATGTAATTTATTCAAATATGAGTCTATAGAATCATTGGAAGTAATAAAATTAGTTATTAAAAAACCACGACCCTTTTTTGGTGAATCTGTTGCATCTTCATTAATTAAATTTAATATAATGCCAGCCTTTCCTTTTACCGATATACCTAACCAAGTTCCACCTTCCTTACCAGGTTCCATATCAATACCTGACAGACATACTGATTTTTAGCGTTCCATTAGAATTAGTTTTAACATACAGATATTATGTATATTTTAATTTTATTTTTAAAAAATATGAAAAATTCAACGTTTTTTATATTAAATTATATTATAATTTAAATTGCATAAAATCTATAAAGATGATCATTTTTTTGTTTCAGATAATTTATTGCTATCTGTATCATACCTCCCAAACATTCAGGATATTTGTCCCAGTAATGAGCTGATGATGCAGGACGTTTGTATGTTTCATCTCGATTTGATGCAATTATCAATCGATAAGATCTAACATCAGCATCTGGATTACGATAAATAAATAAGATGCACATAGTTGACTACAGAATATTATTCTTTTTCTTTTAATTCATAAGTTTTCGTTTCGAGTTTTGGCACAATATCACATCTTGTTATTATTAAAGAGCTTCAAAGAAGAACTCCTTATATTCGATGGATTTTTTATTCGTTCTATCGCACTGATAACTTATCAGATATCTTGTGTATAAATTAAGATAATGTTATATTGCACAACTTGACAGTGTACACTTACTTATTATGTATTGTTAATGTCTATTTATAATCAATACAAATGCTATAGTAAATAATCATACGTTAATATACATATATATAAGCATTTCTTTTAATGACTTTATTAAAGAATATTTAGTTAAGATTTTATATATTAATAATTTTAGTATATTACAATCAATTAAAAGAGAATGTCGTCTTGTAAGACTGTATTAGAAGCAATAATAATAAGCCAATAATAATGGCAAACATGTAATTCTCCTTTTTTCCACTTTTCCTTTCATATTTTAATAAAGATATACTCAATGGATATCTTTTCAAAATAAAGATTTGAATGTACAGAAATAAAGATTAAAAAAAAGACCATCTCTGAGAAAATAGTAGGTATTAAAATTGATTTTTTTTTTTAAGTTCTCTCTAGGAGAGTGGCAGGTATATCCCTGACTACGTGTCTTCAACCTCTAATGAATTATGTAACATAGATCCTCTATCTCCCCTTCTTCTTGCTTTTTTCCTTTTTTCCTTGCTCCCTTTATAAATTTGTCTCTATTCTTCCAGTTTAACTTTCTCTTTATCCTTAAAAACTTGTATTGACGCAACACAAAAATTTGTGCGAGGACAAAAGACGTCCTATCCACTCAACAGTCAAACTGCGATTCATTAAAATTGATAAAGTTTTGAAGGTTAGGAAATTTATGTTACCACATTACACCAGATTAGAACACTAAAGGCTGAATGTTCAATCAGAATGTTTGTCATTTTGCAGATATATGCCTTATTGTTATTGCACATAACTTGATACGAAACACTACCATATTACTTGATATATATATATATATATATATATATATATATATAATAATA